AACAACAACAAGTGAATGTTAAAAACAACAACATTTTCAGCAACTGTCAAAAGAGATGTGATAAGATGAACGTGTTTATTGTTTTTTGTTAATTAAGGGCTGATACGAGATCCACTGGCAACTCTTAATGAAAGGAAGCACAAAAATATCTGGACAGAGAAAGAGAGGCGCATTTTTAAGGACAAGTAAGATGAATGTGTTCAAACGAAGCATCTGCTAGAGTCATAATGTTTACTGTACAGAAAAAACCTTTATTTAGCCATTAGCTGTCAAACTGTAACGAGTATGATGTAATGATTATTTATTGATTACTTTTACCACAAGAACAGTTGGTTTCCGCGAAACTCAATTCATGCAACTTACGGTGGCCTACTACAGTTTTGATGGAGTGTAAGAGTGCAACTTCTTTTGAAAAATGTTCCAAATTGTTTTTCCTTTCTTGATTTACTGTTTGCTCAAGTTATTTACCATTATAGGTGAGATTTGAACAATTTAAACCTAAATATATGTTGAAAGTGAATGACCGGGTGCCAAAGGAGAGACTGGGCGCAAGAAGGTTTAATGACGTTTTTCTCAAAATCTACCCGTATGACCCCACCTCAAAATTTCGGGAATTAGAAATTGGCTGTGATTAAACATCATGAAAAGTCGCAAACTAAGAAAATGTGACATTTTGCCCGGAGAAATTTTGCCCATTTTCAAAATGTGAAATTTTGCCCATTTCAAATGTAGCTCAAAATCTGACTTACAGATTTTTTTCAAATTTTGGCTCTGAACACGATTCACCCCTACAAATCAACTGTGGAAATTTCATCATGAGTTGTACAGTAGGTTTTATCAATATTGGATCACAGACTGGCTTTTACAACCTTGCGCGGGAATTGAACTGCGCATGCCTTTTATTTAAGCGCGCGCTCATGCGACGCCGTATGTGACACACGTATTCGTGTGCGAAAAAGCAAGAGTAAATCACAACTCTTTTATTGGTTGTTTATCAACCTTTTCTGTTGTATGTTATTGGTCCAAGGCTTAAACACATGTTAGAAAGCAGTTTGAAACTATCGCTACGTACTCACCAAAGTGGTTTAACACGATTCAAGTGTTTTAAATAAAGATTGATTGATTGATTGATTGTCAAAGTTGTTTTCGTTTCTTCCTAAGGTTACTTGCATTATATTCGCACGCGCGAATAAGACTGGTGTCTGGCAGACAATCGTAGCGCGCGCTACTGAGTCTCGGAAAAACTGTAGTAAGCCACCTTAAACGTAGTTTCCTTTCATGTGTTTGGTAATGATTTGTAGAACTTCATTCTGTACAATCTTTGCTCCATATCAAATTAATCAAATCTTTATGGTTTTTCCCTCAGCATAGAAACATCCTGTACATTCTTACAAGTCCGTTGTTAAAAGACTTATCTTGGACATTTTTATAGGTTTATTCAAAACCCGAAGGATTTCGACTTGATCGCCTCGTTTTTACCTGGAAAAGTAAGTAAATTGTGAGGAAAGTACAATGTACGTAATTGTGTACAGACCAGTGTTAAATTTTAAAGTTCAAAAATGAGAACAGGTTAGTTATGGAAGTCTCTCTTTTCTTTACATTAAGTTGCTATAATCAGATCTGCACGTGCGTAATGCAAGCCTGAGTGTGCTTATTTGTATGTAATTTTGAATTAAAGTTTTGTAATTTAAGTAAATTGCAGTATTATTAAAATAAATGTGTAGAAAGAGATAATAAGCGAAGCAGAAACCCGAGAGGGTACCATTTTAAGGTGTTTATAGGTTTTCCTAGTGATCTTAAAAGCTGTATAAGAAGATTTTTTCACTGTATTTGTTACTGTAATTAGTTTCGCCAGTTACATTTGCATACGTGGCGTTACATATTTTGGTGAAGATTTTTAAGCTATTGTTTCCATTCAGGTATGGTTCTGCAGTTAATTTTTCAACTGTCTTTGTCAGCGTGTTGTAGTCGTCAAAGTCGCCACACAAATCTCGCAAGTTTCGGCATTTTTCGCTTATTTTTGCTGGCTTTATTTAAATTTCGTTTTGTTTCCTGATCTGCATGCTTAGTTTGTTTGTGTTTTGTTTCAGTGAACCGCTAGTAGAAGAGTGCATTCACTTAGATATGTAGAATTTGACTCAGCTCAATCACTGCTTTACGATCTACTTAGAGGATTTCTTTGTTACCCAAGGCTAGTTGACTCGTCTTTCTTCTTCAACTGTATGCACGAAATAACCGAGAAATGAAAAACAAAGAAAATTAATACAACTAAGTGAAGACTCCGTGGTTACATTGATTGTTGTGGAGGAGGTTTGACCTACCTCGTGTTGTTTTGCAGAGTGTGTCGGACTGTATCCTGTTTTACTATCAGACAAAAAAGAAGGAACATTACAAACAGCTGTCACGGAGACACAACCTCAAGAAAAGGCGAAGAGATCAAGTACGTGCTTATACTTCATACACCACCTAGATTTATTAAGATATGGCTACAAACCCAGGGACAAAAAAGGACAGAGGTCCGTTGTACCTTTCAGGGGTTGAAAAAACGGTTTTGGTACGTCTTAGGGTGTTCAGCCTTAAAAGTTTCACAGCGGGAGCCTTCGCGGTACCTTCTGGGATATTGAGCAGAAAAGAATGTTACAGGAGATAGTTGACAATCAACTCTACGAATGGAAGGTATTCGAAGCAATCGTCTTTATCGCTATTGGAAACTATGATTATTAGTGCCAGTTAATGTGTTGTTTTAGAATTGGTACCTCTTAGGGGTGTAAAAATTTCAAGCCACGCCCACAAAACAGGACCTTGGTACCTCTTAGGGGTTCTTTTCAAAATTTCCGACGAGCACCCCCCGTCCTTTTTATATGGGATTCCCCCGAGCTACAGACAAGTCCCACAGGTACACGAAAACACTCGTAGGAAAAACCTCTTAACGCTTAAGGTGGTGTGGATAGAATTTGCATCGTCTGCTGCGAGCGGCTTCTGCTGAAAACCCACAAATGCTTTTTTTTTTTCAATTAATTAATCCTCCGTAGTAAAAAAGATGGCGACTGGTACATTTACCCATAGATCTTAGCACACGAAAACCTTAACAACGTCCATAAAAACGCACAGAAACGTTTTACAAGCTTCAAACCTAGGCTACTTAATGTCCTTACTACAGGGACATCTATTGTAAAAATTTGGTTTTCTTTGTGCCTTTTAGGCTGTGTTAGGTTCGCAAGGCGTTGTGGTAAAATGTACATCCGCCATCGTTTTTCCTACGGTGGATTGCTACTTACCCTACTTACAATACAATATTAATGTAGTTACTAACACTACTTACAAAAGCTTATTACCTACGCCACTTACGATACTAACACTTACTCTATACAATACGCATACTCACGCTACCAACAATACTAATACTTACACTGCTTACAATACAACATAATTAGATTACTTGCACTACTTACAATTCTAGCACAGCAAGATCATACGAGTTTACTCCTGTCAGTAATTTAAATTCGGAATTGCGAATTAAAGAAAATATGCATGGTATATATGCGCCTTGTTTCTTTTCCTTTCATTTTTATTTTCGTTTTCCACAAATGCTTCTGGCTATCAGCGTAATATGCTACCAGCTGTGAATCAGTTATTACGGAGGTTACATTTTCATACTCTTGTTTCGTTGTTTCAATTCCCTTCCTTTGTTTTAAGTCGCAGTTTGGATCCAGTCGCGAGTGTGCACCTACAAACAAGGCAAGGGCGAGTGCTTCAGAGAGCAGGTAAATGTCTTTTTATGTTAGGCCCCATGAACGGTAATGTGAATTGAAACTTTGCGTCCACGTTGCCATTTTCGCAACATTTATCCGAGCTCACTAAAACGCTGGAAAACACTGATACGCTATGAAAAAACACCGCAGCCTTTATTTGCGCCTGTGACGTGACGTCGGCGTTTTGGAAAGCCTACGTTCTGTCAACAGCAATACGATTGAACTCCGTTTTCAGATGTCTTCACTCTGGACAGCGTTGTCAAGTGTATGTGTTTTTGATGAATTTTGTTATCGTTTTAGGTCCCGTCCACATAATTGCGTTCTCGAAACGAAGGGTTTTCGATGATGCGCTTTCGCCGAAACCGCTCCCTGTCCAGACTATAGTTTTCGCAAGAGTTTTTCCTGTCCACACTTGAACGCTTGAAAACATCACAGCTGTCATTTACACATGCGCACATTACGTCAATGACGTCAGCTTTTTCGAAAGCCTCCGTTTTCGCGGCTCATAATACGATGTTACTCCGTTTTCAAATGCCTCTACTCTGGAAAGCGCTTTCAAATGCATGCGTTTACGAAGAAAACGACGAAAGTTTTTGATCGTTTAAGTGGGGACAGTGGGTGAAAACGCATCGGAGAGTATGGGTTTTAAAATTAAAAACGTGTTAGTGTGAACGGGCAGTAGTGTGGACGGCAGGGGAAAACATATCAAACAATATGCGTTTCAAAAGAAAAGTATTTATGTAGACAGGGCCTTATTTTGTGCGTCCTGCTGTGAATTTGCCTGCAAGATTTTGGGTGTGAAAGAGGTAACGAACAATGTTTGTCCTTCCGCCAGGTATTTAATTAAAAAAAGAGTATTTCTGGTCGCAAAGCATGAAATGTTACAGCTTCTGACAAACTTAAAGTTTGTCTACAGCGTATTCAACCTTTTATTGATTTGATAAGACAACCGTTGAACCCACTATGCAGTCTCTAGTTGTGAGGCAGACATAACATGTGGCCATGAAACATAAGATACAGAGTGTGTGTTACAACACTAAAACCCCGAGCAACAATTTGCTAAAATGGCTTAGCAAATTTGAAATATCAAGGTCTTCAAGATTTTGATATATCGTTTCAAAGAAATAATGATCTGAAAGGAAATGTGAGAACAAAAGACCAATTTCGATATATTAAAATTTCGCCTAAAACAATAGACCTCAGCTCGAGGCTTTGGGGAATAACTACAGAGTTTGTGGGGTTTATTCACCAGAGCCTCGTGCTGAGGTCTATTGTGTTAGGCTGAATTTTAATATATCGAAATTGTCTATTGTCAAAAATCGACGCAAGTTAACACCATCAACAAAGCTGTAATTTTTGGGGTCTTAGCGTCATGAATGTTTTATATCGTGTGTTCAAAACAAAGGTAATTGATCAATGATGTTTGCTGTTTTAGTGTTAAAGGTGAACGTGGTGGATCTGAGGGAGAGGAGGACCTAGAGGAAACGACTGACTCAGCAGAAGAGAGCGACGAAAATGACGAACATGCACCACCTTCAGTAACCACCGCTCAAGTAACCACGCCTACTCCATCGGTCAGGCACACAGGCAGACCAGGTGTGTTAATGAAATATTGCTACCTTGTTTGCTCGAAACTTCATGGAGTATGGATCTTGTCCAGCACTGGCCAAGTTTGAAAACGATTTATAAGAAACAACTTTTTACATTAATTTGACCACCCTTGAATTTTTCTGGTCGGGTTTAGATCACATTGAGACATCCCGTTGGAGTGAGAAAGAGATTGAAATTGCTCTCCAAGGTAAGCTCGTTGTAGGTTTTTACGTCCCTATGGGTGATATTTTCTTTGAAAATAGAATTGTGTGCTCTTGAAATTCTTGTTCTTTTGTGATCAAATTAATTACTATATTAAGGCAGTTGTCAAATGTTTTAGCCAACCATTATGTACAAAGTGAAAGATAGTCTGCTTTTAAAACAATGCTTAAGGACTTTTTTGGTGAGAGCTCTTAGTATTTTTCATAATGGTATATAGCTTTTATCTTTCACTACATAATTATTGTATATAGTTTTTATCTTTTACTACATATGTTCTAATCTTTTTAAAATTTTTATTATTTCATTTCTATTTTTAGTTGCTCAGGGCACCCTTTGATAACAGCATTTGCTGGTTAAATATGTTATTATTATTATTGTTATTATTATTATTATTATTATTATTATTACTCTTACTCTTATTACTATAATCGTATCTATAACAAAATTCTCGATCGTGATTGGTTCTCCGTCTATTTGTCTATTTGCGCCTATTTGTCACGTAATCGGTACGCAATCACGTGGGTGTCCAATTACAGGTATCCAATTTTAATTTTTGTAATTGGATACCCACGTGTTCACACGTCAATTACGCGCGCTTTAATGGCTTCCTTTGCAATGTTTCGCACAGTTTTCAAAACTTATGAAAAGTGCTACAGACGTTTTCGTTTAAAAGAAGTTCTCAAAAGACGTTTTCAATTCCCAAATTTGTTATAGATACGATTAATTAGTAATTGGACCTCGTGTCATACAATTCAGGGAGTAATCGTGCTCGTAATTTCAAATCGGCCTTGCGCTTCGCGCTCGTCCGATTTTGAAATCACTCGCGCAATTGTAGTCCACTCGGTCCAATTAATATTAGTTATTATTATTATTATTATTATTATTATTATTATTATTGCTATTATTATTGTTGTTATTATTGTTATTCTTTTATCCTGGATTTCCGCCGATCTAAGGAACCACGAACAATAATTTTGAAACAAACTTAACATCAAAACAAGATATTCGATGATGTAAATTGTTACTTTTAATTTTAAATTTTTGACGTTCTTTTCAACGAGTTATCTTCTCTATATTATTTTGTATATTAAACGTGTTGGATTATTATTATTATTATTATTATTATTATTATTATTAAAACCTGGAAACGTTAGATCATGTTGCTCAGGAGGAAATGGTAACGGGTGTTAAATGTTTTACTGAAAAATCCACTTTTTTCACAGGGCTGAGAGACTGTGGTCGTGATTGGGAAGCAATTGCTCGAAGGGTCGTGACCAAGACTGGTGCTCAGTGTAAGAACTTCTACTTCAATTACAAGAAAAAACTACACCTGGAGGCACTTGTTGCGGAACATGAGGCCACAAAGGTGAGTGGCTTCCTACTAATTGAACCTAACATTTTAAATACTGATTAGTTTAAATAAAATTTCTCTTCAAAATCTGCAGTACAAAGCGATGCATACAGGTCATGAAAATAATACGCCATTGTCTTGATATCTGTGAGCAAATGTTCTTGACTATAATGCTGAGTGTGTATGGACAGGTGAATAAACACATTTATGCCAATTTATATTGGCGTGCATTTTGTTGCAAAGTAAGGCAGTGTAGTAGTTCTAGAGTGTTGTATGTCGAAGTCATGGGCGATAAATTTAACGTATATTGATGCACTTGACAACCCGTGATGTTTTACTTTGTATATCTGTTGCTTGTTGTAGATGCAACGAGCACAGCAGCAACAGCAACAAAGACAACCACAGCAGCAGCAGCAGCAGCAGCAGCAGCAACAACACCAACAACACCGCCATCAACAACAACAACAGCAGCAGCAATTACAACCGCAACCACAGCGGCAACCACAGGAACTTCAAAGAGACAATCCCAATGTAACACAGAAGCGTGAACCTGCTCCAAAGAAAAGCGTACGACCCCAAACATCAGACAGTTACAGTTCCCATTCATCAAATCCACACAACAAACCAATCAGTGCGTCCACTGACAGTGGAGATACTACCAGCGGGAGAGAGTCCACGTCTGTAATTGTAGGTACCATAAGTACCTCACTAGGACCCCCAGGAGATGCTGCACCAACTGCTACTTCTCCATCTTCTATTCCCAGCCTTCAATTGGTTGCTCCCAGAATAGTTTCATCTCATTCTCCTCATCTTCCCTTGACTAGCTCAAGCTCAACTCTGTTCATGCCCACTCCTGGAGTTATCGCCTCGATCGGTAGAGCCTCGCCAAATGTGGGAACTGGACAGCCAGCCCAAGTTTATTTCCGACCTTCGCTTTCCGAATCAACAAAGCCTGACACACCACATTCAAGATCACCCCATCCAGAAACCATATTTCCTGGGTTGGTTTATCCAAGAGCTGTGGATCCAAGAGTTTTACAGTCTGATCCATCCCATCTGAGACCTTCATTTTTGGTTTCCTCCCGTCCAGGGCACCCGCATTCAGAGGTGCATCCGCTTTACCAGGGACCTGCCTTACCTAAGCCTCTGGAATATAGTGCGGATCCCCCACACTCTTCTGCTTTGCATCCGTCATCTTCCAGCAGTAGTCTTTCAAATAAAGGGGTTCTACAGGCAGGTTCATCTCACCCTATATCTTCACATCCAGGCATTTCTCACACTGGCAAGTCACATGTAGGAGATTCCTATGGACACTCATCGCACTCATCAGAATCAAGCCACACTCCAACGAGCTCTATATTCTTTGCTTCCTCTGGTCCACCTGTCAGTGTAATTAGTAATCGTGTGCCTGCTCGTCCAACCAGTAATTCGCCAGTTCCTGTGGTACCACAAACTTCAACAGACCAGAGAGACCAACCTCACAGTCAAGTACCAATAATCAGTGAACGATCCAAAGGGCACCCTATCAAGTCGCCGTATCCAAATACCTATCCAAAGTATATACGTGGTGAGCCAGCCAGCAGGAACATTTTATCAGATGATGGTAGAAAAGGTATAACATGACAGACGTTCTTGTATTTCTGTGATACACCAAATGATTTTCATCAAGATTAATCGCTGGTGCTCATACTGCGAAATGCCAAAAAGCAGTAATAATACTATTTTGACGAACCCTTAATAGTAACAATAACACTGCAGAAAAAGCAAGGATACAAGGAGACTGTTTTCTGGTTGTTTGACTTTCCCTTTTGAAATAATATTTTAACTTCCCTTTTTCATCTCAGTTGTAGACTTCCGTTGACAACAACATTCTGCTGTGATGCACAAAACCCTCCTAACATTGGTTCATTCTTTCATTTCACAGATATTAGTCCTGAAGTGTGTGGGGTTTCTGAAAGGTCTTTGTATGCAAGTGATACACACAAGCCAGATGTAATTGTCATAGATGCAGATGACCAGAAAAAGAGGATGGAAGGCCTTCATCGGGTGGAGACTTCAGAAGGAAAACAAGCGTCGAGCATGTTAAGAATGCTGGCATCAGGAGGGAGTGGTAAGCTTCAAAAATCAATCAATTTATATGTAGGTTTACTTTTACTTTTGTTTCGTGTTATTCTCACTCTTGTGTGCAACGTGCCCTAACCTGTCAGGACGAAAATGTTACTTCCTTGTCCAGTCCAATGGAAATCCACAACCAATCATAGGTTAGTTTGCAAACGTTTTCCGCACATTCAACAATACCCCGTTTTTACGTTGGCTGCTGCTTGGTTCAGTACATTATCATATGACCTGTATGGCCCAGCGCGCTATTTCCTTGGAAAACCTTAAGAAACATGGACTCGTATAAGGGCCGTACACGTCGAAGTGATAGGGCCTGAAAAACGAAAACTCTATGCGAGTGAAGGACACTATTTTGCTGCAAAATTTTGTTTTCTTTAAAATCAGTTTTGCAGGTGAACATTCTGATAGCGAATTTAACTATCCTGGCGAACTGTCCGATGCAGAACTTCTTCAGTTGTCAACTTACTTTGAAAGTACGGAAAGAAAGTCAACACTCCTTACAAACGAAGAAGTACAAATTAAAAAAGCAAATTGATCATATGATAAAATCCCTGTTGACTGAGTGAGAACGGACCGGACGGGAAAATATTTGGCTCTGTCAGATCGCACAGACCACGCTGCGCTCGGTCCGTAACTCCCGACCTTGAGCCAAGTACTTTCCCATTTGGCCCTCAAAAGGGCCAAATGGGAAATTAGTTTGCACTTAATTATACTGCAATAGTTGTGTTACAAACAGCTTTGCCCCCAAAAAACCGTCAATAATTTTTCTGTGTTGCTTCTACAGTTCCTACATCTTCAGCAGAGCACATGCCACAAGTGACTGAACCAGTGAGACCACAAAGTCTTCCACTTTCGTCCGGTAACCGTGTTATCAGCCATACTGAATTACGGTCACAACAAAGTGCTACTCCACCAGGCAGTTTGGCTAGTCGTCAGCAAACACTGAACCCTCCGCCACCACTCATACAAATGTCATCTTCACGGGACAAGAAGCATGTTATGGCACATGATTTGGCACTAGTACCTTCTCGTTCAAGGGAGGGCTTGTCGCACACTGAAGCCCACCATGATCGCCATGTGCATGTGAGCCAGGAAACCACTGTTGGTAGAGATAAGTCAAGACACACACATACGCCAGTAGACAATAGAGGTGGTGAAAGGGAAAAGCGAGTACCAGTGGTAGAGACTGTTGATTTGACAAGGGATAGAGAGGTAAGCACCTCATCCCTTGCTAGGCCAACAGCGAGATCACCCAGCATACCATCATCTGCTCGTGCCACCCTTCAAGCTATGGCAAGGTATGCTCTAGCAGAGACAAGTAATGTGGATGTGACCGAGAAAATCGAACAAAAGAAAAAGGAAGATACGTACCTACCTCCAAGGCAGCCTGATCCTAAACTGAGCGCTTATGAGCAAAATGAGGCAATTCGGAAGTTCACGGCTCTTGGCAATGTCTGTGTTTCAGCGCCTCGGGAGTTTCCCGGTGGTGGAGAATATCCCAGTCAGCCTTATGCATTGATGGCAATGCAAGCTCACCATCAACCTCATGTTCACCCGCATCCAGCTAGCAGTTCGACCCCTCCACCTTATGGTTATCCGTTTCATGCTGGTCATCCAATGGCAAGTTTTCACCACCACCCTGAACATCGTTTTTTGGTTCCCGTTGGGGTACATCAATTACCTGTTCGTGAAATGCTCCCACAGAGTGTGAATGGTGAAGACCTGCCAAGTCATTTGAAACTCAGTGGTGCTTATCCTCACCAGTATCCACAAGGAGCTGCATACTACCCTACGCCAAGTGTGAGGTCCATTGTGCCACCATATCAACAAATAACTGTTTGTGGTCATCGCTATCCTGTATCGTTGAGCGAGGAGAGACGCGCTCTACATCATCCACACGATGTGCCAGTTAGGCGTCAAAATGAAATCTCAGAGCAAGAGCTAGCAAACCCTTTTGTTGTTAAACAGCCGAGGCATATGCACGGGCCAGGAATGCCTGAACGGGTGGTATCCCCTGATGAGCTACCAAAGTTTCCTCTTCCAAGTCACTCACCAAAAGAACCAGCCAAACGTCCACATACTATTTCCCCTGAGATGAAACCGCAGATTGCTGCACAGGCCGAAGTAGCGAAAACTGTTTCTCCTCCGGTAGGAAACTATCTTTCACGAAAACCTTCAAGGCCGACTTCTGTGTCCGAGATGCGTAACCGAGCCGCTGTTATTCCAGACTTAAAAGAAGCCAGAGGAGTTGGTCAAAAGTTCCCTGATCCACAGCCTGTTGTTTTGGTGCCTAGTAGCAAATTTTCTGGCGGGGAGAAACCTTTTAGGAGTGTAGAGGATGAATTCATAAGAGGAGATGGAACGGGCCAAGGAACCAAGGAACAGGCTAGAGAAGAGAAGGGAGGCCCTTTAGCAGAGGCACTACCGATGTCTGCTTTTGACACTTTAGTTGATGTTGCTGCAGCAGCCAGGAAAGTTGATGTCCCAATTGAAGAGCATACGCCACATAAAGGAACCACTGAATTGGAAGAGACGCATTATTCTTCCAGTGCAAGATTTGGTGGGCATACTGTGGTATCACCTCCAACAGTTGCATCTCCTCCTCCTAGTTCCTCCAGACCATCACCAGGAGATTCTAGCACACCCCGATATGGAATTACCACTGGACTTGTTCCCAAACCTCCACCTCTCATGCCCATTACTGGCAAGAGGCCCTTACAAGAAGGCAGTAGTTCCAGCTCTACTCCAATCAGCATCTCTATTTCAGGCCATGGAAATGTGTCAGTGTCTCGGAGTCCAAGTAAACTTACATCGCCACCTGGAACGCGATCGACAAGAGCATCTGTGAGCCCCGATGGTCCTCCTCCACTGATATCTCGCCCAGCTATAAGTCCCACTTCAACTGTCTCGCCACAGGGAACCAGCCCTAAAGGTCCACCTCCCTTGATTAAAGGCATTGTGCCTACGGTGCTGCCAGCTTTGAGGAATCCAGAATGTGAGGCTGACAGTACGAGAAAAACAAGATCCAGCCTAGAAGACATTACTCTTTTAAGAAGGCCCGATCAAGAGGACAGTGTATCTAGAGGACCGTTCCAAACGGGTATGCAAAGTGTTGACGTGGACCTTCAGCGGAAATTTGGTATGCATTTCCCTGAACTAGGACCAGCTTCCTCACAACGGGTTGATGATGACATTACAAAGAATCGTTCCTTGTCACCACATGCAGTTGGGCAAGCCCAAGTAAGAACTATTTTTGAAACAATAACATATGTCGACTCCCGTCATGCCGGGGGGCGCCATCCATCGAGACATCAACTTAATCCTTACCAGGCACTCTCTACTGGGGTACACCAATCTGAGGAATCCCCAACTTTAGCGACATCATCGAACACTATGAGTACGGAAGAAGAAGACAAAAGAGAGAGTGAAATGTCAAGATCGCGGACCCCGGAGACAGAGCAATATAAAAATGTGCCTCCGCATCTTCAACCTGAACGTTCATCAAAAGACCAAAAAGCGAACGCTGACCAAAAGGAGAAACAAATCTGGCAAGAGAACCGAACGATATATTCCTTCCAGCAGGAATCACAAGGTGGTTACCACAATGATAATTTCTCTTTGCCACAGAATGAGCCGTCGGCAAGAGTGGAGATCTCACAACATGCGTCTGGCAGCGAGACAGAAGAAGGTGATGAAGGGGATGAGGAGACTGAAGATGAGGTACCTCCGGTACACTCGTCTTCTGCCACTTTACACCCTCGGATACGAGCTCTGACTAGAAGCTCTCAGAGTAATGTTCAATCGCCGTATTACGATGCTAGTGATAGTGAAACGTTATCTGCCGAGGAGTCAGAAGTTCTTCCTGAAAGCAGTGATGAGTTGTTTCCAAGTACAACAGTGAAATCAGGTACTCAATCCGACAGTAGCTCTGACGATGGAAAAGACGACGAACATGAACGCATCGCAAGTGACAGTAACGATACTGCTGATACTGGCCACGCTTCTGTTGATGATACGAATGTTCCAGGTTCTTCAAGAGATTACTCTGACGACGAAGATAAATGCGTACGCGAGAAGGTAACAAGCACTGGACCTCTCAGTTTGCAGGTATTTGATGTAAGCACAGAGGAACCGACAGTGGATTCTCCAACTACGTCTACGTTTGTTAAAGAGACTGAAGAAATTCTCGAAAGCCCAGATGAAGATGCAGATGCAGATGCAAAGGGAGAACGAGAAATGGAAATCTCTGATGGTCAGGAAATTAGAGAAGAAATGGGTGCAGTTATAGATCAAGAATGGAACTCTTCAAAGAGCTCTCCCAGTAAACTTGCCATGGAGGACTCAGAAGCATTACCTGCTCAGGAGTTTCTTAGTATGCAGGTAGAGGACGCTGTGAGGGTAGATTCAAGTGAGGACGGTCTGGTTGGAAGCAGTGAAACAGATAAGGCAGCAATTGTATTGGGGGCGGACTCATCAGATCAACAAAGTCAACAAATCACTCCAGACAGTTCCGCTAACCTTGAGAATAGACCTGATGGAAGCGTGACGTCTCCTCCGTTAGAGGGCATTGATAATTGTGGCCAGAATGTTCAGGACGATGTTACTTCGATGGTTGAAGGGGACAGCACAACAACTGCTCAGTCAGCGATAGAAGTACAGGGTGAAGTTTTGCCTGATATAACCGATGAACAATCAGCATGGACATTGCGAAAAGAGGAAAATGTTTACGAGTGCCCAAGTACTTCTGAGATAGAAAGGGAAGGTGAGGTATCCTCTATGCTGGATCAAGCAGACGAGGAAGACGAAGACATCAATGAAGCTGATGCATTAGAGAAAACATCCGCGGAACATGAATTTCTCATTGAGCCAGACACCTACAGCTCCTCATCAGAAAATCATCACCCCGAAATTAGTTCAGCAGTGGATTGTGTTTCTGATGATGGCGAGCAAGTACCATACGCTACATTCGTTGGTGAGTACGTTCCACTGCCTGGCGGGGTGGATTCACCTGACATCAAAACTGGGTGCTCCACGCATATTCCCTCTGAAGAGGGCTCAGTCTGTGGCGATATGCCGCCCGAGAGGGAAATGAAAGACGTAGGTCATCTTGCATCACCACAACAAGGAGAGCCGACTGATGTTTTAAGTCCAGATGAAGAAGCTCATCACCCGGACGATACACTTTCAGCAGGAGAGATTCCGTCCTCACAGGATAGTAGCCAATCAGAAGACGAGCAATTGTCGTTGGGAAAAAAGGTTACTTCAGGTTTAGCCAATGAGCCTATTAATATACTACAATCCACCTGGCTTTCGGAGGAATCACATTCAATAACTGATCACGAGCAGCGCACGTCACAAAGTAAGGAAATAGAGGAGGGAGAGATTCCAGAATCCGAGGACGAACCGACCGTGGAACCTTCTCAGGGGTCACCGTCAGACACAGTACGCGTCTCTAGCACACTAACATGCGGAGATGTGGGCACTTCTGCCGAAGATAAAGTTTCTTCAAGCCAAGAAGTCACATTGCATACGGACTGTTACATAAATATGATCCCCATTTCTCCCGCTCCGCCCGAATCACCCAACCACGAGTCACAGGGTGACCGCACTTCTCCTCTTCCACCGTGGCTTCCAATCGAAAGTCAGTACTCGCCAGTTGTTTCCTTGTCTTTGGCAGCACGAATGACTTCCAAGGGAACCCCTTTCCCTTATTCTACTTTGTCAATCAACGTTGGCTCTGCATCCAGCAGTGCTCGTTCTTCGCCTGTTCCTCAGTCTCTGGCGGTCAATATGGCCCAAGGCTCTAGCCCAAGCAGCGCGTCATTGTTACCCAGGCCACAGGAACCAACCCCACTTCTTTCAGATAGTTACGAACCTTTAAGTGATGATGGAGATGACGAGGAGCTGGCTGACTCTTCGAATATGAGCGATGAACACAATATTTAACACTGTGCGTTTGAAACTTCACCTCGTATCAAAACAAAGCTGGTACAAAGCATTCGTCTTGTTAATATGTATGTTTATATTTTATCGACTAGATATCTGAATGATGAAGAATGATTGACGTTGTATTGTGAATTGTAATTAAATTAGATGTGTCACTTTTTGAAATAAACACAAACTAAGGCTATAACGACATTCTACATTAGTGTCCGATCTCATGAAAACTTTGTTTATACCGATTTGTAATAATTTACCATGTTCCTGAAGTCACGACCCTCGTTTAGCAGCGTTTTCCTGTTGCCGAGACGCTCTGCCGACCATGATGGAGCTCTTGACTTCTAAAGGAATTTTATACAGCGGGCAAGATGGCGCTATGCTGTCCCTTCGGGATTACGCACTGTGTCCCGCAAGAAACATTTGTACGTGATCCCAGATAATAAATCCTTCATCGATCAAGCTTAACTACTTATTAACCAAGAGTGAGGTCTTTACGAAAAATCTCAGACCGAGCGTTTGAGGTTAATAAAGTGTTTATTGTATGGATTTTTGCTCTGTCTTTGCAGGCCCGTAATCGGCCCGCGGAAAATACCTACAGTTAGCCAATCAGAGTTGGCGTTAGATCGGATACAAACACAAACCTTATTATAAGGCGTAATAATGGCCTCGTTCTAAGATGGCTGGATATTGGCCTCGTTCTTTATTTTTTTTTTTTACGTGATGGACGGAGTCGAAGTCCATAAACACGCAAAAANAAAAAAAAAGGAGAAAAAAAAAAAAACACTTGGCCAATATCCAGCCATCCTGACCGCATGAGCTTGGTCAATAACGTAGAATACAACTCAACCCCAAGGTCCTGTCGACGTTTTTCAAATTGTGATATTTTTGGGAAACTCTCACGGCACTCCGCACGGGAGTATAAATGGGTACCAGCGACTTCTTAGGGCAGTTTGGAAGAAAAAAATTGGCTTGTAGCCTGGTGTTGGGTTGGCATCTCACCACGGTGAGGTGGTCAGATGCCTTGTTTCTTCATGCTTCGGAAAATGGGATAAACTCTGGCCCCTACCCGAGTTCAAAACTGAGGCCCAGGCCCTGAAAACGAATAAGGAATCGGTAAGAGCTCTGGAGATTAAATTGTTAAATGCTTTGGTTTAGTTTAATTTCTTGATTTCAAATAATCTCTTTTGACAAGCGTACGGTTGAGGATATTTCCTTTAGCTGACGTTTTTATGACAATGACAAGTCAAAAATTGCTGGTTTGTTTTCATGCCGAGCAAACATTTCTTTCTTCCTAATGCTTGTCAGTTGTGTTACAGGAGAGAAGACGACCGGATGATAGAGAGTTAATCCGGGTTAGAGCGGGTTAATCCCGAATCGAGAGATAAGTTCTTAAATAAACGGTTTATAGCTTGTACAAGTTCAAGAATCTCCTGATAATAAAATAAAGAGTAAAGCATCTCCTTGAGTGTCTCTCACGTGATGTTGTCGGAGCTATCTTTTCTTTGTTTCTTTGGAAGCCACGACATAGCGCTGTGGCACATTGAGAGGTGGAGCGAAACCATCAGCGTAAGAAGTGTCCTCAAACGACACCGAGTAATCATCTTGAGGCTGTCATGATAATAAAAAGGCGCGTTACGAGAAGCTGCATCTTGGTAGACAACCTCGTTCCCAGGCTCTCTCTCCTCTGCCTCCCTTGGTCGTTGGACCAAGGGAGGCAACGAAGAGAGAGCCTGGGAACGGGGTTGCTAGGTAGATTCCTCAGTCAGTAACACGTACAGCCCGTAAAGATAAACTTAGGGCCTCTTCATATGAGCCCGGTAACTTGGTTACCGGGAAGAATTTTGTTGACTGTTCATATGGGACATTTCAACCCGGTCGACCGGAATGAAATACAAGAAACAAAACCAAAATGGTGTAACTTGTATCGTTCGCGACTATATTAGCTTTGTGGACTCTTGTAACTTTACTTATAAAGCTAACTCGCATACTTCTGAAGTGGAAACACATACAAGGCAAAATTTACGCCATTTTGGCCGCTATGATGCGAAAGCTATTTTGTCAAAAAAGTTTCGTCCCGGTCACCCGGGAGGGGGTGTTCATATGGGAAAATGTTTCTCCCGCTTACCGAGATCTCCGTCGTGAAAACGGAGACCTCGGTAACCGGGCCAACCCGGCTTCTCATATGAACACATGGAAATTTTTGCGAAGAAAAGAGTGGCGAGGCGAGGTCTCAGAAACCGAGCCAGCCCGGTTAACCGAGATCATGTGAAGGGGCCTTAAGTTGGTCCAAGTTGGCTGGCAAATATCAGTCCTCGAGAAATTTGAATACTTCCTGTCCATAGATCATTTTTCCTTCTTTTCATAATCTCTCTCTTTTTTTCCTTGGGCTAGACCAAAATTCCGTATCCCTGACATGTGGTTACCTACTTACCCTTGAAGGAGGTTCATGAATAACCGCCTTGTAAAAACATGTGGTTTGTGGGTACAGCGCCATCACAATCTACGAATAAAGCAGTCCATGTTAATT